CTCTCACACACACACACACACACACGTACACACACACACACACACACACACACACACACACACACACACACAAGTACACTCACACACACTTTGCATATGCGGCACCATCCTAAGCCTCTAATTGGCCAAGGAGTTTTCACAGCGCCCAATCTCCCCATTTGTGGTAAAAACAGTTACTATTACAATAAAACACATTCACTTCTGTAGAGGACACTTAGATTAACAGACTATAGATCTGGAAGGCATATAATTGTATGAACCTGAAAGCCAAATGAGACCCTGTGACCCAACCTGACCAGCACTGTAAAAATTTAAGAACCAAACCTGAAACAGCCTTCTCTTTAAAAGCAGACAGTGGTGGATATTTTCAAACAGCTGACTTATAAATGAAAGTGTGTGTGCAAAACAAATTTTTTTTTTATTAACAACAATATTATAAATTTTTAGTAAGATCAATGTTATCGTTACAAATCTGAGCGCAGCACAAATCACATGGGTGGAAAACCAATCTTTTGCCTCAGTGTGAATAGTTTTATATTACGGTATGAGTATAAATCCAGATACAGTTTGTTTTGCTGGAAATTATATTTGAATAATCATGTGATAATGCCTATTTCATGCTTATGCCCGAATTAAATATAATTTCATTCCGCTTTTTATAAAGGAACTGGATGGATACAAACCAAAGGGTAAGATTATGCATTACAATTCAATAAGTGTGGTATTTGTTTTAAAACAGCTTCACATTACATACCAAACTAAATAATTAAAACACTTCAATTAATGAGATATAATATGGACATATATATTCTGTGGCATAAACAGAACAACATAACCTCTAGCACACTGACACTGTTGTATGATATTCATATTGTCACACCATTATCAGCCTTACAAAGTCTGTCAGGTCATGTTGGGATCTTAGGTCAGGTAGCAGGATACTCCTCTTGTCCACATTTGCCAACTTCAAAAGATTAAAACGGACAAATTTTGATTCATTTCTATATTAAATGAACTATATCAAAGCACAAACACTCGCAGATGCTTTCGTTCTTTCTGTAGCAGCTTGCTATGTGTGCTTTAGGAAATCTAAAGCCTACAGTCTTAATTCCACTTGGTGGAAACCTCAAAAGCAGGAGAGGTGTGTGTGGAAGAACATGCAGCCTCGCATGCCAGTTTAATTATGTGCTTCAGATCATGAGAGATTAGAGCCAGATTGAGAGAGGAACAACTTTCAGGATGCAGCTTAAAGTGGGCAATATAAACACAGCAGCCTTCCATGACACACACAGATGCATGTACGGAGAGCGGGACAAAAAAACAAAAAATGAAGGAAAAACAAAAGCACTGATGTTCTTTGCACTCCTTCACACAAAGCCTGAAATATTGTGCAGATTAGTCTGTTTTGTTATTTGGATACAAGGTTGATTCTTTTATCACTTGGCATCCAAATATTTCGTTGAAGTATCCTTTTATTGTTTGTTTGTCTTTTTTGTTTGTTTGTTTGTTTCAAAGAATAATCAAATTTGGCACTCACATTTTGATGAGAACATTTTTATGTTTTATGTTGTTGAATGCATCATACTTGACATGTTTCCTGCACTATTTGGCCAATACATTTCATAGATTTTACATTAGCAGATAATACTTGATATTTTTGTAAATCTTTATTTATTATTAATTATTTATTATTATCTTTTTTTATATTACATATTTTAATAGATAATAATTATATTATATAAAACTTAAAATATTTTTGAAAAACAGAAAATATATTCACCACAAATTAGAATTTACAAACATGTATATTCACTGCAGAAAATGTTTGTGAAATTTAAAAACCTTTTATCAAAAACATTGAAAGGTGATGAAAAGAACATTTTTCTATACACATTATATTTTGAATATAATATTATATTCTAAACTATTAGGATTCACTCTAGAAATTGTTTTTTGTGATGGCAAAAAAAACCACTTCAATACTTTAACATAACCTTGAATATAAATATTTCTGTCTTATGACAATTTTAAATATATTAGCCATTTAACCTAGAAATATTTATAACGTTTTAAATGAACATTTCTGAGCTGAGCATTAAATTAAATTCAATGTAGAAAACAAAGCTTAAATGTTTTTATCACGAGCATGGGAAACCTGCAAGCACACAAATGTATGTGTCTACTGTCCACGAAGATGGACTGGTACTCTGACACACAAATGACGCTTCACACTTTGAGTGGATCACGGCCCACTCTTTTCCTCAAGAATGTCTGTTTCCCATAACAGCCAAGGCTTTGTTTCACTGTGGGCGATGGAGATCATTAGGACTCCATCTTTTTTTATTTTCCCTGCTTCCTGGTGCTTTTGTAATTCTCAGTAGGTTCCTGTGTCCAGTCTCTCTGTAAAGTGCAGGTTAAAGTTAGGCTCTTAAAAAAGCTCCTCTCATTAGGCCCGCCTGCACTGCCAGCCTCATTCACACAGCATTAATGGAAACGGCAACGGCAACCGCACAGCATCAAGCATCCTGAGGACAAGGTAAGAATAGTGTGCAATCGTGTGATTTCCTCATAAAATGTCTGAACCATCACATCTGCGGGTCCTCAATTTGGACATGTAATTTCTGTGACCATTATTCATAGAGTAACGGAAACATCCAGATAGCCATTCTCTGAATATAAGACCGAAATAGGCAAGCTGGTTTCTAATGGGTGTTTGAGGATCTCAAGTGAAGACAGCAGTAAAGAGACAGATCAAGAAGAAAAATGGGCAGATAGTTGTCACAAAATGACCGGTGAGACCAAACATCGCAGGCACTGTCATGTCAACTACAGAAATGGAACGTCTAGAAACAGCTTGTGAAGACTAAAGCGACAGAAACAGGCTGTAAATGACAGGAGCAGATCTGAAGGGGCCTTACCTCTCTCTGAAGAACTAGCTCTTTGGTGAAAATCGTGGCTTCCTCACTGTATGGCTCTGCCACCTGCATCCCACTTGGCATGTTTCGAGACCCTCTGGGACACTCGATACCTGCACACACAAACATAGTGAGGGTGAGCTTTGAAAAAGAAAAAAAATCCCCTGTGCACGTCTGTTACATCCATTTTGGTGAGCGCATTAAAGGCTCACTTTTTGCTTGGTTTGATTATTCAACAACTTATTTGTGCAACATTCGAAAATACTTCCATAATGTACTGCATTGTTTCAATAAGACAGTATATATTTTTTTATATAAAACTAATAGAAAAATATAAAAAAGTACATGTTTCGGTTTATGACCAACTATTGTTATAGTGAAACATAAATAAAAAGTGGATAAACATCATACCTTTTTCATCTAATAGAAAAGCTTGTGAAAACAGCTTATCATTTTATTTGAATCATTTTACTTTAATTTCAGTAAATTAAATGTATGGATCCATTGATTGGAGAGGGAAAAAATGTTGTCACACATTGCAAAAATCTGTAAAATGGCTACTGCAGACCATTGTCTCACAATGCTCTTTGCAAAATGATTGACATGTCCTATTATTAGCACAAACACAAGCACAGAAGAACAGACCTTGGCTTTGCTTATTAGCCTTACACAACAATATAATTGATAATGTAATTCTGCACTGAATGAACCATAAAGAATGCATTTTACAAAAATGCATATTAAGGTATTGATACAAAAGATACAAGATACAAAAGGTCAACGCTCTTGTTATCATAACAGAAATTCCCCCTCATACCCCCCCCCCAAAGAAAACACAATAAGTAGCCAATCGGCATTACCCAGCTCTGAGAAAGGAAAGAAAAAAAAAGACTGAAACAACTCAATTATTTGGTAATTGTCAGTAAATAGTCCCAAAATTAGCATTTAAATTGTTCTGGGCATCCGATCTGCTCAAAGGCAGAACACAATTTCTGACAATAACAGGAGTGTTTTAGGAGACGGACGTTTGTAAACTGGTTGAAGAGCACATAAGAGCGACACTGCATGAGAAACAAGACTGAAAAAACTATTAGGAACGAATCTGCCTCTGTCTCAAGTGAGCAGATCAGAATGCTGGTCTCAAAAGCACAGAGCCATCTTTAAAAATTGCACCTTGACAGGCTCTTAGTCAAATACCATCTTTATCTGCTTTCAATAAAACCAGCCTATCAAGCCTTGACCTCTTTGTTAAAGGAATCAGTTTATACAGATCTGCGTATAAACATTATCTACAGCACGGCTGCTATAGCCACTCATCAAACAGCATTCAGAAAATGAGAACAGTCGATGAAATTGCAGCCTTGGAAGGAGAAATATTTGAAACCCTATTTGTAAAAAAGTTCCAAGGTTATAATAAAAATGTCTCAAACAGTTTTTTTTTTCTTCTGTTTCCTAGCAGCTCTCAATGAAAGAAGCTGTGTGTATAAGTGATTTTCTCTTGAACAGAAGTAATGATTTCTAACAGTCAACACCTCCTTCCGTGCCCCTGAAAAATGGCGTTTCACAGCAGGGCACAAAGCTTCAATACGCATACTGAACAAAACACAGCAGTTCAAACCTACTCAACCCTGACTTCCTCAATTAGAAAGGAACGATCAAACAATTGTTAGCCTTGCTGATTCAGAGATGTCACAGGGCGTGCACAGACGTCCATTTCAAGAAAACGTTTGGAAGGTTTTTTGTTTGGCACGTGCTACGCGATGAAAATATTTACTCAGACCAAAGAACTATATTGACATGATGGAAGGAAAAATATATATACATGTAATTTGTGGCTGTGTGTAAACTTGCTCCAGGATCGGGATCTGACTGTGATCATTTCCGACAGTGGGAAATTTAATCCTAGACTGGATGTGTCAACGCAAAAACATTTTTAACAGAAAACAGAAAAGTAAATAAAGAACATGTTCACCAGAATTCCCTTGTATATAATACAAAACAAAGTAATATGTAGGGAAGAGAAAAATTAAAAACAAAAACAGATAAAAAAATAAATTAAAAAAATACAAATAAAAAGTCAATATATATGTACCAAAAATGAACGTAATAGTTTACTTATGGACTCAACAAAAACCCATAGAAATGGTGCATTCTCCTATAGTACAGAGCTGCCCTTGTATATGACACTCTTCTACCTCCAGTGCAGTCCAGAGTGTTAGCATTCGAATTTCGAATAATCGTCGAATTTAAAATCAAAATCGACATTCAAATGCAAAAACGTTGCATTCGAATTTTAGTTGTGCATTAAGGAGGCAGCCTTATCAGTGGCGCACGAGATGCGATGACGATGTAAGTGTCGTTGCATTATAATGTTTTTGTTAGCCTATCCAGTTGAAGCCACTAGATGCGGCGCTGCTGCGTTGTTCATTAAAAATATTGCAGAAAAAGAGAACATCAATGCGGAGAAGATCTTGTTTACATCAAAACTGAAACCAAGCCGTTCACACAGAACACATATTTTGCGCATTTTCTAGAGGGACATCTATCTCCGTTGCACTCCAGTTTAAAAGCCATGTAAAATTAATGCAAGTTTAACTTTGAAAAAACATATTATCAAGACTTTATGGCGGGGGGGTTT